CGAAATCGTAAAATAGAATTTGGATGATAAAACGTGAAAAAAAATCACATTAAAGTTTTCTATTTTTTCTCTGAGGTTTTGCATTTAGGTAAGTGATTGTTATTTTCTTCTGTTTATTGTATATTTAGCGTCAAATTATCGTTATATAGTTTTTTGTAAATATAACCTAAAAGGCTTATTTGAATTTATTTTTCTGATTGCTTCGCCTGTTACGAGGCACTGTGTGACACTGTAACAATGAGCCTCAACGAGCTAATTCTTGTTCTTTTGAAGGTCTATAAAAAAATTGTGCGAAATCGTAAGAGGAAGACGGCTTACGGACTCCATACTGAAAATGATACGAGAGAAGCAATTCTGATGGTTGAAAATGAGAAGAGTCTTCGAAAGGCAGCAAATGAAAAACATGTGAATTTCTTGATTACCAAATACTGGAAAGATAAAAAGATGGCAGGAGTTGATTGGTTATACGGATTCAGAACACGGCATGCAGATTTAACGTTGAGAAAACCGCAACCTTGCAGCTTGACGCGCGCAACATCATTCAATCGCCATAGCGTGAATATATTCATCAGGAATTTGGAAGATCTTATGCGGCGATGCCCTGGTTTCACAGACGGTAGCAGATTTTACTGTTTGGGTGAAACTAGAAAAACTACTGTCCAAAAACCTAAAAAAATATTTCAGCAAAGGGAGCTAAACAGATGAATAAAGAAACGAACGCCCAAAGAGGAACACTGGTTACTACATGTTGTGCAGTATCTGCAACGGGATCATCACTACCTCCGGCAATGGCGTTCCCCAGAAAACAATTACCGGAATTGATTGTTTTATATTATTTTAATGTTGTAACATTGTGCCCCTTACTTTGTAACAGAGTACCCCAGATGCGGGGCTCATTGTTACAATCGTCTGATATCATTAATAATAATAATGATAGTTAATATGATAATATGTTAATATGATAGCTAATAATAGTTACCTTTAAATAATTAGAAGAGTCTATTAAAGTTAATATCCATGCCAGTTAAAAGTTAATTAAATTAATATTTTCGTCACTACATTGCCGTTAATTTATTTTTGTAACACTGTGCCCCACCTTACCCTACCACCCCAAACAAATTTATGATTAAATTGAAGTAAAAACCGTATGTCACTTCTTGTCAATAAATAAAATTCACCTATTAAAGGGCGTGGTAAAGTAATGACAGTAAAATATCAATCTCAAGAATATCAAATAACAGTGGTAGAGCCACGCGGCAGCTTTTGTTGTCGCACGGATGGGCCGGCTCGAACCGGGGTGGTACCACCTCACAGAGTACCAGCGTGAAGTAGAAGTTTACTTCTGCATTCCGTCTGGTGAGTGCAGGTGGCCGGAGGCCCAATTCTGGTGACGGAAAATCCGTCGCTGAGCATCCACGCCCAAACTACCCTACTTTTTCTGAGTGTGGGTGTTCAGGCTGCCCCGTGATTTTCCGCTCAAGACGAAACCTGCTCGAGGCAAGCGGAGCAATAAAACAAAGGCAACCCCTGCCACGCTTTCCGTGGATTTCTGCAGTATCAGGGGACTTCATTCAAACCGTAACGCCGTCCACTACCACCTGGAGACTGCAAAGCCGGCCTTGCTCTTTCTAACCGAGACACAAGCGTCCTCTCCGGCTGATACTAATAATAAATGATAAATCAGAATACTCCTTTGTGCCCCGGGCTGGAGTTTGCGTGTACGTTAGAGAGGAATCTGCTTTTGACGCCTCGGCACTCTGGAAGGTACGGACTTGACCAACCTATGGAGGCGCGTAGACAGCGACGACCATCCCGCATCTACCGGTGCCCCTATAGGTCCCATAGCGCTAATGCCGATACAGATCGACTCATCGATCACGTCCAAATGGCTGCATACTCCGTGCTACAACAGGTCCCAACCGCAGAGATCGTGATGCTCGGTGATTTTAACGCCTACTACGCTGAATGGCTCGGTTCCTGTTTAACCGATCATGCGGGTAGATCTGTTTATGACTTTGCCTTGGCATATGGTCTGACACAACTGGTTACTTTGCCTACTCGGATCCTAGATGTGGTGATCTGATATCCAGACGGATATCAGATCTCCGTCGATGCCCCATCTTGGCACTTCGGACCATTATCTGATCCGGAGTACGGTGCCACTCACGCTCTCATCGCAGTTGAGATCTGCAGCTTTCCGACGTGTTTGGCACTATAGGTCGGCCGATTAGGACGAGATGCGGTCTTTTTTTTGCATCCTACCCTTGGAGGCGGGTTTGCTTCTCGCCGTATGATCCCAACGTTGTTGCTGATTCTTTCATGTGATACTTCAGGGAATGGAATTATTTATTCCATCATCTGTGGTGCCTATCGGAGGCGGAACTCAGCCATGGTTTGGTCGCTCCTGTAAGACTGCATCACGCTATAAGCAGGAGTGCTACCGGGCCTGGGCTGACGCATCAATGTCCCGGGATGTAAATACCACCGCTTTAAAAAAAAAGTATAATTCCGCCTCCAGGTCCTTTAAAAGTGTCATTGCCAAGGCAAAGTCAGAGCACATCGGCAGAATTGGCGAGTAACTATTTCGCCTATCTTCGGGAACACGTGAATTCTGGTCTCTCACCAAGGCTGTCCAAGGGAACTTCTGTCAGCTATCTCTGCACAGGGTGGACGACTCACCGGCCCATGACGCAAAGGAGAAAGCCGATCTGCTAGGCTCTCTTTTTGCTTCCAACTCGACTCTCGATGACGGGGGGATCACACCGCCGAACATCCCGTGGTGTGAGCGCTCCATGCAGGAAGTGCTGTTTACACTTATCCTAGTATCGAGAGTCCTACCTATTGTGCTGAAGACGTGTGCTCCGGAGTTGGCACCACTTTTAACGCGTCTTTTCCGGTACTCCTACTCCGTAGGCGTAGTCCCGAACTCATGGAAGACAGCTTTGGTGCACCCGATCCCTAAAAAATGCGACCGCTCAGATACGTTCAACTACAGGCCTATCGCTATCACCTCCTTGTTCTCCAAAGTAATGGAAACTATTATTAACTCTGGCAGTTCATGCGGTATCTTGAGGATCACCAGCTGATTAGTGACCGCCAGTACGCTTTCCGTCGAGGTCGCTCGGCTGGTGAAATTCTAGATTACCTAACTCATAGATGAGCGGAGGCAGTGGAGACCAAGGGGGAGGCGTTGGCCGTTAGTTTGGACATAGCGAAGGCCTTCGATCGGGTTTGGCACAAACCGCTTCTTTCGAAGCTTCCTTGCTATGGGCTTCCCGAGAAATTGTGCAGTTGGATCACCAGTTTTCTTGCAGATCGGAGCATCAAGGTCGTAGTAGACGGTGCATGCTCCGATTATAAGCCCATTAACGCTGGTGTTCCACAAGGCTGCTATCACCAACGCTGTTTCTTCTGCATATTAATGATATGTTGCAAACTGGTAACATTCATTGTTATGCAGACGACATCACTGGTGATGCTTTATACACCAGCCGTGCCAATATTTTTCGGAAAAACGTCGCCGAGTACCGGAACAAACTTGTGTCTGAAGTCAAGACTTTGTTGAACAAAGTCTCGGACTGGGGGCGACTAAATATAGTCCAGTTCAATCCTCAGAAGACACAAGTTTGCGCGTTTACCGCTAAAAAGAACCCCTTTGTCGTATCTCCTCAGTTTCAAGGCACTCCCCTTGTTGCCTCAGTCAGTATTGGAATCCTCGGTGTCGACATATCGAGTGATGTGCAGTTTCCACGTCACTTGGAAGAGAAGGCCAAATTGGTCTCTAAAAAGTTTGGCGTGCCCAGCAGAGCGGGACAGTATTTCATGCCGGCACACCGCTTGCAACTTTATAAGGCGCAGGTTCGGCCCCACATGGAATACTGTTCCCATCTCTGCGCAGGGGCTCCCCAGTGCCAGCTCCTTCCACTTGACCGTATCCAGCGCAGAGCGGTTCGAATCGTAGACGACCGAGTTCTTTCCGATCGGCTTGACTCACTGGCACTGCGTAGAGATGTTGCATCTCTGTGTATTTTATTGCATCTACCACGGGGAGTGCTCTGAGGAATTATTCGGACTAATTCTAGCCGTTAAATTTCATCATCGCACATCGCGACAAAACTCGCGATACCATCCATACCACCTGGATAATTGGCGGTCCACCACTGTGCGATTCAGAAGTTTTCTTCCCCGCACAACTTCCTTGTGGAACCGATTACCACCAGCGATTTTTCCGGACCGATACGACTTAGGGACTTTCAAGAAAAGAGCCTACTCCATTTTAAGGGCCGGCGGTAGTCACTTACCATCACGTAAGCCGCATGTTCGTTTGCCCCCTCTCCTATAAAAAAAATCTAAATTTGTAGGGCGGGAGAGTTAGTGAATATCATATAGGGAATAGGAAAGTTGAGGACAGCAAAAAAGTGTTTCAGAGTTCCTTCCTCCAGACAACACGCATATTAGGAGCTATTCCTGATTCTGAGTTTGCCAAGCGAACAAGCATGGCCTAGACATATTCGGCAAATACATTTTGTCACCCATTTATTGGCTTCACAGAATTAAAAAAAAAAAGGTTTTCAGCTCACTAATGTGTTTGTCTTTGTTTTAATATTTTGCCATTATTATTGCCTTTTCTAATGCCATAAGTTTTGAGAGCCAGATTTATTTTATTTCAAATCTACTAATCTCTTCATCGATTAGTCCATAATTGTTTCTAAACCTAGTATCAGTAAATGAAAACTAAAATCTTGTGAAATAAGTTTATTTTTAATATAGATAGCACTTTAAATTATGTGATATCAGAAAGAACATGTTTCTTAAAAAAAACTGATATGTTACTATAATATATAATATGTACAGTATGTTATTGTCATTACACAACTTTTGCATTAATGTTATTTAATCTTAATATTAAAATAATATCTAAATACATTAAATATATATTCGAATGATTAGGAACATCTTCAATATAAAAGAGACATATAAAACATTACTTATTTTGGGCATTAATATGTTTCATAACCTGGCAATGGGAATGATGCACTGTAATTTTCTACTTCAGCCTTAAGACTGGCAACCTTCTTACTAATATCGGGGTTCTCATTGATTACTTTGTTAAAATCAGCTAGTTTTGGTCCCGAAATCTTGGTTATTTCTTGAGCTAATTTGAGAGCCTTGTCAATATAGTCAACAACCTTGTCTATATCCGCTTCTTTCATACCGCGTGTAGTTAACGCGGGTGTACCTGTAAAATAATTACAATTTACGATAGAAATTCCACAAAAAAATCGTGTTTTAGTTTAAAACGTATTTGCGTTTCTTTACATAATATTAGGTGAGGTTAAAAAAATAAAGTGCGAAATAACATTTTTTGTATGATATACTGTCCAGTTCTCATTCATTTATTTACAAGTAAAATACGAATATTCTAATTTTTTTTTCACATTTTTACGAGCTGAATTGAAATATCGTATTTCATTGAAAATGAATCCGTGTCGAGAACATTTTTGCGCAATGATCTTTTACGATTTCAAATGTCACTTATAACCGGACGAATCGTTTGATAAAATTCAAAATAAATATAAAAGTTCAGCTAAATGGGATACATTTTACTTCGCCGGAAGAAGCGCTAGCAGCGTTTAAGCAAGCCATGGAAGTGTCTGAGGCGGATTGCACTTTTTGTTGGTTCATTGCATGAAACTTTATAAAGATGCCAGTGGAGAGTTCTTTGAAATAATTTAATATAAAAACTTTAACCATGAAACTATTTTTTAGTTTTTTTACTCACGAAATACTATCAGTCCGTAGCTGCTTTTTTAAAACGGAAATTGCGTCAACGAACTTCTGAACGTTACTTTCGCTCGAAAAACGATCTGAGTTACCATCAAGTGACGCCTAAAAGCTTAACTTCAAAAAGAAAAAATACCATTATACATAATCGAAAACCAGACTAGGTATTACACATATAAATTCTCTCATCTAAAGTTCTTACTCATTATGAAGGTTCCCAAGTGACTTTAATTCTTACCTAAATAAATTGGTAACTTTTCAAATTAATTCTAAGTATAATTTTTTCGAGAGCAATGTGTGTACGAGACAATAGTGCCGACCGTGACTATGATAGTGAGTTAGTTAGACTTAGTTTTCGTTGTACACTATTTGTGGCTAAGTACCGCATCTTCCCTTTTTAAGCACTGCCTGTGATCCATATACCAAGTAAATCCCTCGTCACAGATCATTGTACGGAGGAGGTTATGCATTAACTACGAGTTAACTTATTTCATAAATACACATATGTAAGCAAAGATAGTATTTACCTAGTCGGATACCACTGGGATTAAGTGCACTCTTGTCTCCAGGCACTGTGTTTTTGTTACAAGCAATGCTACACAGTTCTAGAATACGTTCAGCACGTGCTCCAGTTAACCCTACATTCCTCATATCAACCAAGGCTAAATGCACATCAGTGCCACCAGTTGCAATTTCGTAACCACGCGACATTAGGCCTTCACACAAGCGCTTAGCATTCTTTATTACCTGTGGAGAGATTTTGAATTAGTCACATTTTTAACATATTTCTCTGTGGAATTAATTAAATCAATTATATTATATGCAATTTTTTTATAAGATAAGGGTAACAAGTGAGCACACAGTCCACCAGATGGTAAGTGGTTGCTGTGGCCCCTCGACATTTACATCTATCTTAGTTTACGAATCAAAATACAGATGCGTTGTCAGCCGTGAGGACTAAGATGGAATGCCTCTTTCCCAGTAAAAAGGGTGGTGTTCTCTGCACTCACCATATTATGAAACACAGCAGCCTTAAGCTGATATTTTACGCTGGTATTCTGTGAGAGAGTGGTCCTTCCCCGGTCCGGCCGATTCATTCGTACTACAACTATACAATTAATATAGCTGCAATGTGGCTCTACCACATACAAATGTATCAATGTTTAATCACATTTCTTTTTATGTCATTATAGACCCCTCACCAGATGTAGTGTTGACCTGATTAACATTACAGGTAATCAAAGGATAGAGGTGACATAGGACTATATTTTGTGGCAATCCATGGGGGAGGTCTATGGTCAGCAGTGGACTTTTGATTGTCTATAGTGACTATGTTATTATTCTATTCTAATGTCTATGATTATATTTTAACGTCTTCTTTAAAGAGAATGCTGAAGATTTGTTTGTTGTTGTTGTGTGATAGTTTGGATAACAACCTTAAAAGCTATGTAGCGTTTCCAGGTGTAAAATAATAATTTAGTGTATTTGTGAATTACAATTTCCCCTTTGTGTTTTCAACCCTTCCTAAACCTACTGATAGCGCTATTGTCATTTCCATGTTTATATAACTTAAATTGAAAATTATAAAAACCTCCGAAAAGAACATTGTCGCAGCTAACAAAACAGCTGATGACCTTGAAACGCCTGAACCGATTTTAATAAAACATGTCTAAGAACTACCGCTAGAAAACCCACCTTTAAATTAAAAAAAAAACGCACCGAAATCAGTTGACCCGTTTAAGAGTTACGGTGTCACAGACAGACACATACATCAACAGTAGTCAATCTTATAACACCCCTCTTTTTGCATCGAGGGTTAAAAATAGAGTAAATAGAGTAGAGTAGACACTATGTTAATTGCAATACTTTTTATGAGTTGTACTATCTGAGTAAATAATGCCATATTTTTAGTAGAATCTGACTACTGTTTTAAACATCTATATTAGTAATAAAAATGTATGTATAGTAGAAAAGTAAAAATTTAATTTAAGTCAAAATGTAAAACTGACAATTTTGAACACAGTGCTACAAAACAGCAATTGTTGTGAAGGTACATCTTTATATATAAAAATTACGTGTCACATTGTTTGTCCACGATGAACTCCTAAACTATTGAACTGATTTGAATGAAATTTTGTACACTGTGTGCAGTTTGGTCCAACTTGAGAGATAGGATACTTTTTATCCCGATAAGTGACCTTCAATATTTTTTTATTGCGAATTTAAGGATTTTTTCATAGGAAGGGTCGTCGGAAAGGGCAGAACAACGTCTGCGTGGCCAGCTAGTATTATATATTTTTAGTTTACTTACTTGCTTTTGATATTCAACAAACTCAGGGGATGTTGCTTGTTTCATAGCAGTGGCAATTGCAGCAATAGCGTGGTTGTGTGGTCCACCCTGTAGGCCAGGGAACACTGCCTGGTTGATCTTGTTCTCTAAGTCATACATGACTTTTTCGCCTTTTGCGTTAACTGAACGTACACCCTTGCGGAAGAATATAACACCAGCCCTGGGGCCACGCAGAGTTTTATGTGTTGTTGTCGTAACAATGTCACAGTACGTAAAGGGACTGGGTATCACTCCTAGAATATAAAGAAAAAAAAATGCTTAAAAATTATTTTAAGTAAGGCCAAGAGTTACTAACTACACTATCCTTATTTAATTATTAAACCAAACAAATAGAGTTTTTCTAACCTGCAGCTACAAGCCCTGATATATGGGCCATGTCTGCCATCAAGTAAGCACCATTTTCATCAGCAATTTGACGGAAACGTTCATAGTCCAAACACCGCGAATAGCAACTAATGCCGGCGATAATCAGACGTGGTTTGAAAAGCTTCGCGGTTTCAGCCAGCTTGTCATAGTCTATTAAGCCACTTTTAGGATCCACCTGTAAACGAGTTAAATTTTAGAACTGAATTAAATAATTATTTAAAGTAACATACTCCAATTCATATTGTACAGTAGATATGAGGACAGAAGGATTTCTGCAGCCAAGTAGAATGCCAGCCAATGGAACACTAAGGCACATAGTTAGATGGCTAGCACTAGTAGTTTATATGTGGTAGAGCCTTGTTGCAGCTATATTACTGATATAGTTGTAGCATGATGGGTTGCTTCGGCCGGGGTAGGATCACCCTGTCATATGATACCAGAATAAAATAGCAGCATTAACTGCTTTTTCGAATGGTAAGTGTACAGAATCGGAGACCTTTTTTACTGGAAAGGAGGCATTCCGTCTAAGTTCTCACAGGTTACAACGCATCTGCATTTTGATTTGTCATCGAGGATAGATGTAGACGTCTATGGGGTTGGGCCACAGCAACCGTTTACCATCAGGTGGACTGTGTGCTTGCTCGTTTGTAAACAATAACTAAATGCATAGTTGGATCCATTTACAGAATTTTTTTGTTAGAAATTTCTAAGCAAGTCTGGGGTTTTCATATCTAGTGTAAATAGGAGATATTTATACCGCCATTCATTGAGACACAAGATCTGAACCTTTTCTTAAGCCACCTCTTATGAATACTAAAATATAATATGGTGTAATGGTTTCTTTAATGATGCCATAATATGGCTAAGTATAGATATAATTAATAACAATTCTTGTCTTAAATCTAGCAAAGTTAAAACTGATGTCTATAAAATGTATGTAACAAAAATAATAATAATTGCATTGAAACTTTAAACAAACGCAAAACATCGAAATATAATGAATGCAAAAATAAATAAATAGAAAAATATCAAAAATTAACAATCAAATCAAAAGTCTCTCTTACATAGGACAAACAAAAAGATCTAAAAAAAAAAAAGAGAAAAAGATCTATAAAAACCCGAGTAAAAGAACATATAGCTGACTTGAAACACCGACGTTCCGGGAAGTCTGCAGTTTGTGAAGATGTTTCTGCCAGAATATTAGATTTGATAGACCACAAATCCTCGCAAAAGATCACCGATTCCTATCATGAATGATTTGTGAGGCTATTGAAATTAAAAGACATCCTAATTTCAATAGAGAAGATAATTCCTATAATTATTAATAATTAATAATCAGATCCTATAATTATTAAAAATAAATCCAAACCGAAGTATACCACTGCAAGACTTCAAGATACTGTAAGCTCATTCTGCTTAGATCAAAAGTTAATATTAAAAAACTGAAGGTAGCCAGGCTAGCTGTGACATCTGGACATCAAACAGCTCAGTCCCCCCCGTGACAACGGGTGCTGTACAGCATCCGAAACGTCAAGAGTTAAAAAGAGAAATTAAACGCAATATAATCTATAAAAATTAGTTTAGTTAAAAAATAAAACTTACTTTGTAAGGCATACTTTCAAAGAAAATGGATGTAGCAGAAATTTTCTTGGTGGCTGTGAAGAAGCCGTGTGTAAGGTGACCACCATCAGGTAAGTCCAAACCCATAATTCTTCCATGTGGCTCCACAATACCCGTGTATACAGCAAAGTTAGCAGGAGAGCCTGTGTTAATAAACAACATAATTGTTTTATAAAACAAGTTTTTAGTTTAAAACACAGGTGCAATTTGACATTGACAGATTGTTACTACTACTACTATGAATGGATCTTCTATTAGTGGTCGTCTAGTGGTCGAAATTCCGCACCGTAATTCATTAATTTTTTTATGTTTGTATATTAAGCAAACTGTAATTCACTCTAAACTGCACATCTATATACATAAATAAAATAGAAGTGTCAGTTTGTAATGTCAAAATAACAGCTTTTGACTAAATGCATATGAAAGTATGTACGGTACATATAACAAAAAACAATTTTAAAAATTTTTGTCTGTCTGTCTGTTTGTTCTGGCTAATTTCCATAACGGCTGGACCAATTTCGACGGGACTTTCACTGGCAGATAAGCTAATGTTACTAGGAGTATCTTAGGCTACTTTTGTTTTAGAAAAAAGAATTAGGATTCCGTGCAAAAAAATTAAATAATAAATTCCACACGGGCGAAGTCGCGGGGAACAGTTAGTATAAAATAAAAATTCTTCGCCTTTCAATTTCGCCTTCGAAAATTTAAAATTCTTGGGTGACAATCTCTACTCTGTGCGAGTATTTGACCACAGACTATTAAAAGCTTGACATTGGCCTTGAGGTATTAACATACAGAATACTTACACTGAGTCTTTGGCAGTATGAATGTAAACAAACAACACAATTTGTCCAATGCCAATTTTGTTTTTCACATGGACAATATGAACATGAAGAATGTATGTTTTATTTAATTTAATGTATTTGTAAATTATTAGAAATTAATGGATTCAGGTGACTCAAATCAATGTTTCTCAAATTGGTTTATGGCAATCTATAAGGAAGAGCTACGTCCAGCTGTGGGCTTCTTATGAGCTGTAATGATGATGAGGACCTCCATAATGTCAAGTTATTGCAATAGTTTATTAATATTCTATGATATTATACCTGAATAAGGCTGTACATTTACTCCCCATTCTTCATCGCGGAGTCTATATGCTTCAAGTGAACGCTTTTGTGCTAATATTTCTATCTCATCTATAAATTCATTGCCTCCATAATACCTGTAACAGAATGTAACATTCTCAGTATTCACCTAAGTCATGGGTTTATTTATCTAGACTATTTTATTCCTTTACTTATTTTATTTTAAAATACAACTTTCATTGCAGGCTAAATTAATTTGACAGAGTACTCAGTTAGTATTATATAATCTACTAAGTATTATAGTAAAACATTGTAGTAACTACTAATATATAATATGCAGATCCTTCTGTAATACCAAAGCTGATATCATATTTAATAATTATATCTTGTTAATTGGAAGTTACTTAAGTGAGCATGCTTAATCATTTTTGTTATATACCATTGCATATTTAAAGATTAATTTTTACTTTTCATTATAATGCCCTGAATAAGAATTAGTGACAAAAGGTAGCCAAGAAAAATTCTGTATAATATAGTATATAATATTTCATGTATATTTTTTAATTATTATTTTTAATTACTACATAAACATATAATACTAGCTAGCTAGCTTTCTCTAATTTAAGGTATTATAATTAATTGTCTCTTAATATCTCATCAAATAAAAACATATTTGAATATTATAAAATATTATCAATAGTAATAAAATTTATCTTATACATTGTCAGTCTCAGCGAGAGGAGAGTCAGAGCCCTATAAGACTTAGGTACGAGATATATTATAACAAATTATTTAATATTCATAATCACATACAAATGTTCCTAATATAAATATAAGCTGATACAGTAATTACCTCTGGTGTGGCATTCCTTCTGAATATTTGTTATGGAGGCAAGAACTAAGGCATTGAAGCACAGGGACAGATGTGAAATTTTCTGAAGCAATCATTTCCAAACCATGCTGCTGTCTCTGCTTTTCCTTTTTTATTATTTCAAACAACTCTGGATCAGTATCCCACAAATTGCTATTGAGAAGCTTGTTCATGGTGACTGAGCTGTGTATAAATTTCTTAGAAACTGAAATCTGAAATTAGCAATATTAAAATTAAATAAGTAGAATGTACTCTAGACGGAGGTGTGATTGGAACTACAGCACAATTCGAATTCAAAGTGGTCATTTATTACAGAGATCGTGAATGAATTGACCCCACAACGTTATCTAAATAACGCAATCACAAACAAATGTTGATGTTTGTTTGTTTCGTTATTTGGATAATACTTACAGTTCTCTATTTAAGAAATTTTGCTCAATGTTTTATGTTAATCGTAGGATTTGTAATTCACAAAATAAACTTTATTATATGTTAACCTTAACTGAAACATGTGTAGTGTGTACTAATGGTAAATGTTACCGATACATAACTTTACTGAGAAAATTAAACAGAGTACTTACTTTAGCGTATATATTCCTTTGCGCCAAACTGTGACAACCTTCTAAATGTGATATTAAAACTGGGTATAATTTGGGAATCACATTAAAATGACACTGTTTTAAAATCTTACTACTCATTTTATATTAGGATTGATCTGTATGCCTTCAAAACACGGTATAATATGTAATTCTTTACACAAACATGAACGAAATTAATCAACATTGATAACCCATTATGAACTTTACAATCATACACCTTGACGTTAAGCAGTGGTGTCCTAATGTTTATTAAATACTCTGTGGTGTCATCCACAGTTTACGATTTAAGGTAAAGGCACATTTAAACGCGTCTTACGCGCCGCAGTAATCAAATTTTAGGATTCTTTGTACGAAATTGTATGGAGCCTCGCTTCGGTAAGATACAGCTTGCACTTATCTGCTCCGCTTGAACCGCATTTCACTAAACTTCTTCATCATCATTCATCATCATTACAGCCCTTCACAAGTCATTTCACGATTGACTAAAAAAACTGACTGAAAAATATGTACCAACGGTATTGGTACAAATTATATTGGCTCAGCGTTTTGTGACAGTCCACACGTTGGAAGTTGGAAGGTCATTCAGTATTGTCGGTACGGGTCAAAGTATGGACGATCTTATTATTGTTGCGCGCCACTATTAATGTCTTGTACATGGCAACACTAGTTACCACTAGCGCCCTCTAGTATGGAGTAGCAGAACTAGGAGAGTCAAGATCCTTCTAGAAATTTCGGGACCGATATGTACTCGAACATACTAGATGTTTCTACAGTAGAAGGTTCTGGAAAATATTTGACACCCTATATAAAGCCGGTATAGACCACGAACGAGCGAGTATTGAATTGGCGATATAAGCGAATACTTCGAAGCGATGCGAACTAAAGTGATCAGTAGTACCATTGTGTTTTATTATTAGTGTGGTTTTAAGTTGTAATTAGTGTTCTGCAATTAAAGTGTCAATTTTGGTAATTCAATCGGCAGTTTTTAATTGTCTCGAACCCCAAGCTCGTAACATTATATATTATTACAGATCTAAAAGTATCTTCATTATTCATAGCTATCGTTGTCGTCGTTATAATTTTAACGTTCCCATGTAGAATAGTTCCCATGGGGACTCGTTGCAAACTGAACACGCAAACATCGTGTGGACACGATGGCTATCATTCCGCTTACGCCCGCATCGTGTGCCAACTCTACAGTTCCTACCAAAGCCATTATCATTGGCACATAGTGTGCACATGTTATATTAATCATCGTGAAGAGGAACCTTAAAATACTGTAAGTATACGGATTATCAAGGAGTGCGAATGACGTCATGGCGGCAGCGAGTATAAGCAGTATTGTGTGATGTAGTTCGCGAGAAAAGTTCAATAAAGACGTCTAGTAGTTTTGACGACTGATGACGTCAAAACCACTAGACCATCAGTAAATTCGGGCCCGTGCGGTGCGTATACATACGTGTAGATACTCTTAAGTGAGCGTTCACCCTAAAATACTTATTTATAAACATTGAAGTATAATCAATGTATTTACATAATATTAACTCAATCTTCTTGTGTAAGTAATGTATGTATCAGTCAGTAAATTATTTGCCAACACGAGATATACCTACATTTATCAAGAAGTGCGTTTCTTGTATTTTTTAATAAATTAAGCCATACCTATATAAGGTTGCGATAATTATAATTAGCATTACAATATGCGACAATTATGATTAGCAACAGCAGGCTAATGACATAACTTAAATTAAAAATTAAAAACTCCGAAACAAAAAGAGCCGACGATCTTCTAACGGCCAATTAACGGCTGAACAGATTTTCTTGAAATATAGCTATGAACACTTTGACATTGACACCTTTCAAACGAAAAAAACAAAATCAGTTCATCCGTTCAGGATCCGTATGATGCCACAGATAGAAACACAGATACATACTACGAACTTAGAACACTTCTCTGTTTTCGTCGGGGGTTAAAAATAAAAGAAACTGAAGGCAAATTAATGGCTAAATTGATTTTTTGGCTGTTTGTCTATGTATTCACGATTCACGCAAAAATTACTGGATGGATTTTCATGTTTATTTGTAGTAGTGGTAGTTAGTGACCCGGAGTAACTTATTGGGTACTTTTTATCCGATTACGGAACTTAAAAAGGAAAGGATATATTTTTTTGTTCCTTTAGAAGTTAATTCACAATGGTTATTAATGATTCTATTAGTTATAAGGGAGATAACATAGTGTTCTTTTAAATGTATATGATAATATTTATAAATAAAGTTTAAAATAACTTTTGACCGTTGTGTAATAATTTGAAACTAAACCGACCGACGACCACGACACATAATAGTGACACATATCGAAAATATAATAATTGAAATGACCTTTAGTTTAATTAGTAATTATTTAGTATTAGTAATAAAGTAACTCATAAAATTTAATTAAAGAATGTTACTGAATACTTATTTATGCCGCGGTAGTTCAGGGACTAAGCGCTCGCTATATATTTCACAGTACGCGAGCAACCGTAAGCGAGGATTTCGGTCACGGTAGTCAGTCAACTGAGACTAGCCATCTTCGTAGTACGGGATTACGAGCCCGAAGTGTATGGGCAAGTACAAGTGGACTCTCTATTCCTTCACTCTCATAGTCCGACGTGACAGCAAACCGAAATGACCGGAGAGAGATCAGGCGCAGGACCAATGGTTTACGTGCTTTCTGAGGCATGGGGGGTGAAAAACACCGCCAACTTCCTGACAGCGGGATGCTACTGAGACTACTGTCGATAGAAAAAACCCAATATCTGATTTTGGCCCGATTCGGGATTCGAACCCGAAACCTCGTTACGTAGCCACGTTTACGGCCACTAGACCAACGAGATAGTCATTATCGTTGGATAACTGATTACTAGGTAACTATATTGCGGTTCACAATCGTGCAAAGGCTTCTTTTCAGTTTTATGAATTTTATTTTAGTAAATACGAGAGCCGTGTAGCCTTCCGTAATATTTCATGGCACGGGAGCAAAACGTGTACGATTCCCGTGAGGACCAATGAAATTGCTATATGGAATTTTAAGTGCTGATTTACCACGTGTTTGTCGGTGAAGTAGTGAAGTACAAAATCGTGGGGAAACTAGGTATTGAAGAAAGTAATATTTACTCAAACACATGCTTATTTTAATTTTAACTATGAGTAGAGTAATAACTGCAAAATAACAAGCAAATAGAAAACTTTAGAACAATTTAAGCAGCAAAAAACAAGCAATAAAATTTATACCGTGCAGATCATGTCGTCCTGCTTGAAAAACTACAGGCACATCGAATTTCCGGTGATTTGCTACGGTGGTTCAAAGGTGGTACATTTTCAATCGCAACCAAGAAAGTTGGTATTTTTGTGTTGCCAGTGATGACATATGGATCTGTGACGGACGAGTTTCTTTACTTCTGGACTTATGAGAAAACTAAAGTTCTGTCTATGAGCTCTGTAGCGGGCTATGCTCAGAGTTTCCCTTCATGATACTCTTCGTAATGAGAATATGCGCAGTAAAACTGTCCACTCTGTTTTCAGTTCTTAATGATCCTTCCTCACCCCTTTATATAAAAGAAAGATTTCAATTCCTTAGTGACACTCATTCTCTCAATCTCCGTTCTTCACATAGTTTATTCCTGTCCACTCCTCTCCACCATTCTGGGTCTATGTCAAATGCTTTCACAGTTACTTCCATTACCATATGGAACAAATTGCCTGTTGACCTGCGAACAATACCTGCCAAAAATGTTTTTAAAAGAAAACTATATGAGCATATCCGTAGCCTACAAAATTGAGTCAACTTATTTTATATGTTTCATCATCATCAACATTACAGCCCTTCACAAGTCCACTGCTGAACATAGGCCTCCCCCAAGGAATGCCACAAAGCACGGTCCTGAGCCACCTGCATCCATCGACTTCCTGCATATCTTACCAGGTCGTCACTCCATCTAGTGGGGGGACGCCCAATACTTCGCCTGCCGGTACGAGGCTGCCACTCGAGAACCTTTCTTCCCCATCGGTTGTCGGTTCTTCGAGCTATATGGCCGGCCCATTGCCACTTCAGCTTACTAATCCGTTGGGCTATGTCGGTCACTCTGGTTCTACTGCGGATATCCTCATTTCTGAGTTTATCACGCAGAGAAACTCCGAGCATAGCCCTCTCCATAGCTCGCTGAGCGACCTTGAGCTTCCTCATCCGGCCAGCAGTGAAGGACCACGTCTCAGTTCCGTATGTCATCACTGACAACACGCACTGGTTGTACACTCGTTTTCAAGTTTTGAGGTATACCTGACGAGAAGATGTGTCGTTGTATCCCGAACGCTGCCCAGCCGAGTTGAATCCGTCGATTGACCTCTCGGTCGAAGTTGGACTTACCTAGTCAGACTATTTGTCCCAGGTAAACATACTCGTCAACAACTTCGAGCTTAGTGCTCCCAACAACTACCGGCATAGGTGTGACATGGAAATTAAACATGATCTTTGTTTTGGACAAAACAAAGAACATGGACATGTTCATCTAAAGACCTATCCGTTGGGAAGCACTATTGAGGTCATTGAGCATAGTGCTTAGGTCCTCCAGCTATTCTGCCATAAGGACTATATCGTCGGCAAATCGAAGGTGAGTGATGTACTCGCCATTAATGTTGATACCGTATCCTTTCCAGTCCAGAAGCTTGAAAACATCTTCCAATGCAGCGGTGAAGAGTTTCGGGGATATGACGTCACCCTGTCTTACACCTCTCTGCAATTGGATAGGTTTCGTACTCTGGTTCTGTACTCGGATAGCCATCGTAGCCCTACTGTACAAGCACTTCAGCACTTCGATATACCGACAGTCCACTTGGCACCGCTGCAGGGACTGCAGCACCGCCCAAATTTCGACGGAATCAAAGGCTTTCTCATAGTCCACATACGCCAGACATAGTGGCAAATTGTACTCCTCGGACTTCTGTACAATTTGCCGAAGGGTATGTATGTGGTCTATGGTGCTAAAGCCTTTTCGGAAACCGGCTTGTTCGGGAGGCTGGAAGTCGTCAATTCTGCGCGCGAGACGATTCGTAATGACTCT